TGAGGATGTTGCAGGATGGGGAAGTGTTTTGTTCTGTTGTACATAGGGTTGCTATGAGTCAGAACCAACTTGATGGCAACTAACAACATCAACAAGGAATGAATGACCCATGTGGACCTCTGAGGGAAGGAGAGTTCTAGGCACACTGAACAGTAAGTGCAAAGGTCTTGAGGGAGAAGAAATCCTGATGTACTTAGGAAACACAGTGGAGCCAGTAAGACTGGAGAGGAGCAAGCAAATAAAATGATATTCAGTGATGAGGTTAGAGGGGTAGGTAACAAAGGGCCAGATTAGGTGGGGCCTTGTAGGTCATTGGAAGGATTTTTGCTTATTCTCTGAATGAGATAAGGAGAATTTATCCCCCCATTGTCTGTCCTAGAAAATAGATATTATCCCTGTTTTATACCTGATTAAATATACAAAAATCATGTAACTCATAAATAGCAGCACTATTTTCAAATCCAAGTCATTTGAACTTTGGTGCCATATTCTTAACCATTATAGATTATAGGAACTACACTACTACCTATAGATAATTGGGGCTAGATTTCCATTTAAAGGAGTTTGGACCTGGTTATGTTCATGTCTTTATATAGATATTTCACTGTATTTAAGATTTAGAACATTCACATTTTTTGAGCAGTGGAGTGAGTGACCCATGCAGACTGTATTTCAAAAAGATAACTAGAGACAGTGAGGAGGATGGATTAGAAGGTGAGGAGCTATTTCCAGAGATCAGGTAAGTGATGAGGGCAGCAGAATGAAGAGGGCCTGGCTGAGTGGTGGCTGAGGCAGACTTGACAGGACCTGATGACTAATGAGGTGTGAGGTGTAGAGAGGAAGGAAGAAGTGAAATATGACTTTTTTTTTTTTTTTTTTTTTGCTTGGTCAACAAAATGGAAGGCTCTCACAAACCAACAAAGACAGGAAAAATATATGTAAGGAAGAGAAAATGAGTATGGTTTTGGACAGGTTGAATTTAAGATGTCTCCAGGAAATCCATGTAAATATATGAAGACAGTTGGGCAAGAATTATTACCTTTAGTTTTCACTGGGATCCAAAGAGCTTATGAGACCAATCATTGGGTCACAGAGTTAAGTAGTTGCGGAAATAAGACTAAAGCAAATGTAGGCTTCATGTGAACGACGTTGGTGAACATAAGGCTGTGTATGTCTGTATTTTTTTCCTTCTCATTTTAATGTCAAGTGAAATTATACAAGAAAATAGAATCTTTAGAAGGATATACTTAACTGTTGTGAGAAAGAAAGGCATTTGAGTCTCAGCATGAGAGAGGCTACACTGCATTATCAGATTATCACACTGCAGCATTTTGTGCGAAATACTTCTCTGGCAAGCTTACCCTATATTGTCCCTTTTGCATCCTGAAGGGTTCCTAAAGATCTCTGTCTGTTTAAAGCACTCATGACTGTGAGACACTAGACGTCTAGCACACCAATCTCTGCTTCTCTCCCCAGGTTTTCTATTAGCACTTCGGTAGACTGCCATACTTCCACCTGCCATCTAGTCCATTCTTCTCCAGAGGAGTGACTGGTGAGACCTAGGATTAGTGTGAATGCGGCCCTGTGAAAAACTGGTCCCCACAGGGTGCTTCTCATTACTCTTTCTCTTTGTCTCTCTCTTATAGTCTCTCCCCTTCCCCCATATATCCTATAACAGGTCACATTCCCTTTGGTTGGTAAATGTTACAGAAAGTGAATACAGACCTTGTCAGAGGATGAAAAGAGAAGCTGCCACATCCCAGAAACCCCTGCACATCAAGGGTGTCTAGTCTAGACTGGCTGTATAAGAGGAGGTTTAATAAGGAAAAAAATTTATAGAATTCAGAACTCAGCCAACACAATCGTCAGCCATTTTACAAAGATCCTATTTGCCCTCCCAAAGTCCTCATCCATTGAAGGCCATAATGATGACCCTCCCTCCCTGTGTGGATGGCACATGTAGAGTCTGGAGAGTATATGTGTAAATATGTGTTCTTCTCTTCAGAAACTTAGGGATTAGCAATATGGAGTTTATCTGAAGCAAACTGAGCTTTCACATTCTGATCCCTTTCGTCACCTTAATTGGCAATATAGAAATCCCAAAAGTCAATAAAGAGGAGAGAAATTTTCAAAGTGACTAAGGAATAGAATGGAAAGCTTCCTGATTTCTTCTAAATGAGATCTTTACAGTGCAAATTTATGCTTGAATTTTAAATAACATTTGTTAAACATTAAACATTTTTATATTTAAATGTACCTTTTTAGATATTGAAAATTAATGCTGTGTAATAATGACATCAATCATACTGCATTAGTTAAGATAAATATTATATAATTACATTTCTAGCAATATGGAAGACGATATTAAATGACAAACTCTTCTTTTATTGTTGTTGTTGTTACTCATTTTTAGAACTTTGAGTCTGTGGCTATACTGACTGCAAAGTAAGAGACTTATTAAATTACATTAGTTTATTAAATTATTTAAACCCTTGGAGCTGGTATCTGCCTGAGGATATTTGCCCTTTTGCCCATCATATGCACCGATAGAGGTATAGAGCTAGTAGTTGTAGAAGTTAACAGGAGCAGAGAATAAGAGACAAAGCTTGCGGATAAAATAGGGTATGATGTCTGATTAGAGAACCTTGCGTACAGCCAGCATCTTGAAATGACAACATCTTAGTGGGTAAACCAGCAAATAAAATTTGCTTCGAGAGAGAACTGGTGAATATACTTACTTGGTGTATACTTGGCTTGGTTGGGACAAGAAAAAAAAAAAATCTCTTCTGAGAATTCCTTACCGTAAGTCTGAATTTACTCATCTGAGTTTATATGATAAAGATGACCAAAAAACAAATATTATCATTCTTTCAATGGACTATTTTTAACCAATAAAATTCTCCAATTAGAGCTTTGTTGCCCAAACAAACCTTAGCAAAATTTTTTATTTAATGTGGCATTATTTTGGTAAAGCAAATCCTCCCAGGACATAACGTACTTTAAACCTTGGCTGCAAAAATTCCCTCAAATAAATTTCTAAGGACTAGAGTTAACAATCAAGAATCATGCAAACATACAAGCAAACCACCCACTATGAGGAAGAGTCAGCAGAAATAAACTGATGAATAAGGCTGACAAAGACTTTAGGTATTAAAATGATCAAATATGGAATATGAAATAAATTAATAAATTTAAAGTAATAAAAAGATATTAAATGGTTTAGTCTTAGAAAAGAGATTGGGATTCTGTCAGTATATACCTTAGTCTTAGATATTAAAACTTCAGTCTTAACAGTAGTGAAAATTTTAAGAAAATATTGGGAGACAAAAAACAGTAGATTGTAATCTTGAAACAGGACACATACAGTTTACTTTTGCTTAGTCATTTGCGATATTAACAACTTTCTACAAAATATTAGATACTCTGCTCTGAGCATTACATATTCAACTTAATTTAATTTTTACAAAAGCCTTCCAAGATCAGTATTATTATTATTTGCTCTTCATTAAAGAGTAAAGTGAGGCTCAGAGAAGTTATGGAGTTTTCTTCAGGTCACATGATAACAATAATAGAGTTCAGATTACAACCTAGCCACAGTGGTTCTTTCTTTCTTTTTTTAAATACACTTCATTTTTTAGAGTAGTTTTAGATTTACAGAAAAATAACACAGAAAGTACAGGGACTTCTCATATATCCATTTCTCTCCTGCACACAGTTTCTGTTATTAACATCTTGCATTCCCCTGGTACATCTGTTACAATTGATGAACCAACATTGATATATTAAGTTCAGAGTTTATAGAAGAATTCACTTTTGTGTTGTATAGTCCTATGGGTTTTGACAAATGCATAAGGTCATGTATCCACCATTACAGTATCATGCAGAACAGTTTCACTGGCCTTAATATGCCCTATGCTCCACCTATTCATCTCCCTCCTCCTCCTCTCCTTGGCTACCATTGATGTTTTTGACTTCATAGTCTTTCCTTCTTCAGAACGCCAGGTAGTTGCAATCATACAGCATGTAGCTTTTTTTAGAGTGGCCTCTTTCATTAAGCAATCTGCATTCAAGTTTCTTCTATGTGTTTTTGTAACTTTATTGCTCATTTCTTTTTACTGCTGAATAATACTCCATTATATACATGTATCACAGTTGGTTTATCCATTCTTCTACTGAAGGACATCTTGGTTGCTTCTAATTTTTGGCATTTATGAATAAAGTTGCTATAGACATTTGCATGCAGGTTTTTGTGTGGACATAAATTTTTAAGTCACTTGAGTAAATACCTAAAAGCACGGTTGCTAGATTATATGGTAAGCTTATAATTAACTTTGTATGAAACTGACAGATTATCTTCCAAAGTTGCTCTCCCATTTTGTATTTCCACAAGCAATGAATGAGAGTTCCTGTTTCTCCACATCCTTCTCACATATTCGGTGGTGTTGGCGTTTTGAATTTAACCCATTCCAGTGGGTGTATAATGGTATCTCATTTTAATTTTCAATTCCCTAATGACATACGATGTTGAGCATCATTTCATGTGTTTATTTCCCATATATGTATCTATTTTGGTGAAGTGTCTGTCCAGATATTTTGCCACTATTTTAACCGGGTTACTTGCTTTGTTATTGTTGGGGCCATATTGGTTCTTTTATACCTTGTTCTGTCAGTATATAGCCTAATTGTGTTCTCTACTTACTGCTTGGAAAATCAAGGAAATAAACAAAAACCTGTTATTATATATTCACATTCTTGCCCATTTTCAAGGAATTTTTATACATTTTAATATGTTTCTGTAAACAATCTTGTTAACAAAAATAAACAAAACAGACAAACATAGGTAATGGAGATATATTGTCTCCACTTAGCAAAGAGTAAAAACACACAGTTTAGATTTTACGAGGTCTCCAAAGTCCCTTCTCAAAGTCTCTCACTGCCATTACCCACAGTATGCATTTAAAGAAATGGCAGATTAGGCTGAATTTATTGGTAACACTTACCTATTGTCACCTTCTCTGGAGAAAAAGACTGTGAAGGTTTGGATGTTCCCTTTTGCTTCTGCAGGTGGGCGCCAGCTGAGACGAACAAATCGACTGGAAACCAAGACAGGGACCACATCTCTGGGAGCAGAAGGGAGGACATTGGAGCTTGGGATAGCTGGAGAGGAAGGAGAGGAGGCTGTTAGAGGTGCTGGTGCCATTGGTGGGAAATGTGGAGCAAGGCAGAGCTGATCCATTAGCAAACATAACCATCTGACGGTCACACGGAGTCTAAAGGAAGGAAGAAAGTCAAGAGAAAGCAATTAATGGAATAAAAAACACTTGACATTCCAAACAAGAGAAAAATAAAACAGAACAATCATAAAGAACTAAACTACCATTGAAACTCGAATTTCTTCAGTGTTTAAAAGGGTGGCTAATTGATAACATATATGATTCTATTATGTATTTGTGCAGTTTTTATTACTTTTGGGATCCATGACCACAAGAAATATGTTATGTTTAGGTAAGAAACCGGCAGAGAAGTTGGGTAATATGTATTTTTAACAAGCATATGAATTCCAGAAAGACCTTTCTATAGAAGTGTGGATAATATGATTCAATACTATAAAGGGATTATGCTCCTTGTGACTTCAAGTGAGTAATAGAAACTTCGTGAAAAAGAGGCATTTCTATCATGTTAAAGCAGGACTTAATTATTTTAAGTAAGTAATAATGTATTTTCCTGAATCCTTTCTGGAAGGGGGCAGGAATTGAAAAAGTAAGTAAATGGATGAATAACTGAATAAATGTATAAATAAATGCATAGATTTATATTTGAAGTAAAGGAATTATAATGCAGATAATAAACTTAAGATATTTTAAATATGTAATCAAATGTAGAGTGAATATTTTGTCATAACTCTTCTCTGAGTTCTTGAAAATGCTGCTAAGAGAATGTAAGCTTACAGTTTTTTTTTTTGCTTTATAAAAACATATGATCCTACAATTTTAATAAACAATGAGATAATCTGATTCCTAAGAAAGACAAAAAATCACATTATAATTCTTTTCCCCTTATGTTTGTGGAGTAACTACAACTAACTTGATCCTTCAAAATGTTGAACTCTAGCAAAAAATTGTTTCATAGTAGAAAAGATACAACTCAAGCATGCATATATAAATTGGAGTTTAATAAAGTTCGAATTTGGAAGCCAAATTATGGAAACCCCCAACATTCCATAACACAGCCATGAACTTACATGTATAGAAAAATTCAGGTAATCAAGTGGTTATTACAAAACCTTGTTTTGTAATAAAACACTGTTTTAGATGCAATTTGAAGTACCTTGTTTATGTATTTTCTGAGTCAAAAGAAAGTTAAAAGCAGCACATTAAAAGTTGACTGAAGATAACAAAAAGTAGAAACAGTTCTCATGGATTACCTACTAGTAAAGATGATGACAGAAAAAAAGTTCTACAAGACAAAAATATACACTTGTGTCATGTTTGTAGAGTATCACTGTATTTATAAAAATTTCAACAATTATTATTGATAGATATGACACAAAATCATCCACAAATGGAAAACTTTGGTTTTTCAAACATTTGGAGCATTTACGATGTGTTTTCAAAGTTTTATATCAAATATAGGGGTGTTTTGTGTGTGTGTGTGTGTGTGTGTTAGTAAAAGAGAATTTACAATTCATCTTTGCTAGATACCTCTATTTTCTTCTTATTTGCTCAAGTCTCCAAGTCTGGGGAACATTTGGTTCATCCTGACAGGTGATTTCTAGTAAAAAAAATACAAGTACCCATTTCCCTGCATTTAATTTTTAAACTGGCTTTTGAAGGTCCTTTTCTCTACTTCTTATCAACATTACTTTTCATTCTTGTATTCACTTTTGAGAAGGGCAGGCTGAGTCGGTATCCTTGCCATGGAGTAAACTCTTGTTAGCTGGAAAAAAAAAAATCCATTTTTTGGGGGAAATGTCTCATTTCCTAATGTTTCCAGAAATATTATCAATTTACAATATATACCAGTTACACTGCAAGTGAGGCTTAAAGACCAGCAGAAAGCTTCTAAAATTCTTTCTTGCTCCATAGATTCTTAGACTACTTCTTTGTAGATAAAAGTATCCCCTTGCTTTCCAGATCAGAATAGTATTTGAAGTAAATGGTAGACTGGCAGCCAGTTCAGTCAATCTTTTCGGTCAGAGTGGTGAGGGGAGGGGAAAAGATTGACAGCTGGATAAGTAGTGTCTCTCTCAAAAATATAGATGATATTAAGTTTCTTGACAGAATTCTTTATTTCCACAGACTACAGAAATCTCTCCCTTCCCTTCCCACTGCCCCCTCAAGCCGCGTCTCCTGTGTTGCTTATCTCAGTGCGTATTAATACTGTCCTCTCATCAGTGTAATTCAGAAAGCTGAAATGCATTCTGTAGTCCTCATTCCCCCTCCTAAGTCTACCGTGCTACTTCATCTCCACTGTCACTCTATGTTCTGGCCACCATTCTTTCTTGTCACCATTACCTCAGTGGGCTTCCAACTCATCTGCTTTCCTTTCAGCTTACCTTCATCAAATATTTTCTCTGTATAGCATCCAGTATAAGCTTATAAGAACTAGTAAAGAGTGTATGCCTTGAGCATTGTGCTCTTTCAGGACCAATCTACATGGGATCAAACTGACAATAGCATTTCAAAAGCTTAAATAGATAACAGGCTGCAACGAGTTTATGTTAAAGGGGAGAAAAAACTCAGAAAAGGAGGGTGAGAATGGTTCCACAACTTGAAGAGTGTAATCAGTGTCACTAAATTGAACATGTGGAAACTGTTGAATTGGTGTATTTTTTGCCGTGTATAGTCTCAATAACAACAACAAAATAAACAAAATTTTAAAAGAAGAAGAACACACATCTGATTGATCGTATCACTCTTCTACTGTTCTATCTTCAGTGTCTTCTGGCCACCTCAGGACAAACTCCAACTTTGTAATATGCCTGCTGTCTGGGCTCCTGCTAACCATTTGTCTTGGTTTGGGATCCCCCCCAAAAAGCCCCAAATAAAAGGATTTAAAGACAAATACTGCATTTGGGAGGTGATCCCAGGAAACACCCGGTGGGGTGTTGGGAAGTGAGAAGAGAGGGATGGCAGCCCGTCTGGGGTCAGTGTAGGACATACCCCAGAGTCACGGATGGAGTAACCAGTAAGCAAGGTACACACAGGCTTACTTGTGTTTACTCACTAATCTGTAGTGAACAATTTCACATGGGTTTTGCCACATGTGTGTTCCTATGGCCAGAAAAAAGCCTTTGGGCAGAGGTTTGCAGGTGTCCAAAGTAAGTAGAGTTCATAAGCTCTACTAATTCATCAAGTAATTATAAAGCACTTTTCACACACCAACCCTTGTTCTAGGCACCGAGGAGAGAATAGTGATCAACAGACAAGGTCACTGTCCTCACAGAGCTTACATAGAGGTTCCCAGACTATTTGATGCTTACATTCAGCATGTTCCCTCCATGTTGAATTACCTGCATACAATTCCCTACTGGGCTTTTGCACAAGCAGTTCCCACTCCTTAATAAGCCCATTGCATTCACCTGACTAACTCCTACTTTCCCTTCAGGGCTTAATTTAGGTGCTATTTTCTTTGGAAAGAAGTCCCTAATCCAAAGTATTTGCAAAATATCTAACAGAAAATAGTTAATATCTATAATATTGAAAGAATGTCTACAAATTAATGAAATAATAAATAACATTAATTTAGAAATAAGTTTAAACCTGTCAAGTAATGAAAGAAACGCACATTAAAATAAAATCTTAAAACAACAAAACAGAGTAATATGACTTTAGAAGCTATTAGTATCTTGTGTTGGTCAGGGTGTGGCTTTCTCATACGCTGTCAGTTGAAGTTTGTATGAGCATAATGTTTTTAGATGTTAATTTGGCAAAATTCCTTAAAATAAAAAATATTCACACCATTGATCAAACACTTGAATTTCTATATATGTGTCATTTAGAAATTAACAAACACTCCTTTTATTAATATGCCAATCTGAAGTCATCAATAGAACTATTTACTCAAAATGTAAAACTTATACATCATATCAGTCCCTGGCTGGTGTAAATCGTTAAGAGCTGGCTACTAACCAGAAGGTTGGTGGTTCAAATCCACCCAAATGCACCTCTGTAGAAAAGCATGGTGATCTGTTTCCAAAGCTCACAGTTATGAAAATCCTATGGAGGGCAGTTCTACTCTGAAACACATGGGGTCGCCATGAGTCTGAACGGACTCAACAGCAATGTTTTTGTTTTGTTTTATACATCTTATCAGTTTAAAGAAAATGGTAACCTTATGAGTTTTTTTCAAAAGATTTTTATAAACCAAAATGTTATCAGTGATTACTTGGGAATACCTTTTGAGAATTTTCAACAAGCTAAAAAAAATAAATAAATTTTAAAAGAACAGGAGGATGGATACTCCTTAGACATAACCAAACACCTTGCAAGATTGGTTTACTGGAGTTGAAGGTTTAAGACCATAGTCTCATGGGACAACTAAGTTAATTGGCATAATATAATTCATAAAGTGTATGTTTTACATTCCAATGTGGTTAGTAGTGTCTGGGGTCTTAAAAGCTTTCAAGCAGAAATCTAAGATACAATTATTGGTCTCTACTCATCTGGAAAAAAGGAGAAAGAAGGAAACCAAAGACTCAGAGAAGAAAGTAGTCTACGGGGCTAATAATTTACACAAACCACGGCCTCATCTACCTGGGACCAAAAGAACTAGATTGTGCACAGCTAGCAACACTGACTGTCCTGATCAGGGTCACAATAGATGGATCCTGATAGAATAGGAGAAAAATGTATAACATAACTCAAATTCCTAAACAGTCCAGACTTACTGAACCAGTTGAGACTAGAGGACTCTGAGATGATAGCCCTTTGATACTCTTTAAACCTTAAACTGAAGTTATCCCTTGAGGTCACCTTTAGCCAAATAACAGATTGGCTTATAAAATAAAGAATATCATCTGTGAGTAACAAGCTTCTTTAAGAAATCATCTTTATGAGACCAAATGATCAAAAATTACTCTAAGCAAAGATGAGAAGGTAAGGGGGCAGGAAAAATAGAGTACTGGAAATGGTATAACCAGAATGGAATAACTGAGA